CCCTCAAGTGAGATTGTTCTAACTTCTAGCTTTGGATGGATATCAATGAAGAAACTGACACATATGGCAGGTATAGTTTAAGCAAAAGGTTGGGCTAGAAGTCCGACACATACTGACAGAAACACCAATGGATGGGCTGGATCTCCAAATAGGTATCAAGAACAATGACATAGCTGATCATTTGTTTGCAGATTGTATTGGAATCCTGTCCGTGCAATAACAGCACACTAAATTTCGGATCTAATGATCTAAATAGCATAGATGTATAACTATTATACAATGTTATAAGCTGCAAACAGGTGAAAACTAATCTTAAGTTCTCAGCAGAGCTACGGAATCACCATTGATTTCAAAGTAGCCTTAAAAAATAAGGCTAAAAGAAAGTCTGTATACATCTCTATGTTACAAAAAAAGGTGAGTTATGCTTGCAGTTGAGATTAAACCTTGTGTCCAACACAAGGGCAGGACAGGTATACTTAAAATATCTGAATCTACAATTTAGCTAATTTACCTCCATTCATCTTGGTACAGAACTTCTTTCCATTTCTCCCACCAAGAATCGCCTTCAGCATTCTTCCCAGATTTCTCCGCACCTAATGTTTTATAATTATTACATTGAAAAGTCAGTCACGAGTTTGTAACAGATGCAAGCAATAAGCATAAATTAAAGAACAAAAAGCAAAGGCATTGAACATAGCTACGAACGAAATTTGCATGCTCATGCACAAGAATCATGCTGATTAAACACTTTGATTGATAATATGACTATGCTATCAAAGAGGAAAGAGCCTCAGTATAAAAGAATAATTTGCATACCTAATTCCTTATATCCAGTCCAGTCACTTTTCTCCCACCACTGCCACACAGAATAATGTTACACAATGTTGTTAAGACTTGAAGTAAACTAAACAACAAGATTACTGAACTTGCAAACTTAAGTAGGTCCTTTAATGAAAAAGAATGGTTCTTAGAGCAGTATTTTGTAATTTTCAATGGAGTTGAGTGTTTAGCTTTGGGGTCTTACAGTCTCAAACCTGTAAGCCGGATTGAGTACAGTGAAGTTGAAGCCAGATGAAAGCTTGCATGCTCCAGTGTGCATGCTAGAGTTTTTGAGCGATTCAATAATTTTCATGACTATGGAATTACCTAAATTCAAAAGGTAATGCTACAAATGTTCAAAATTTAGCATCAAGAAAATCAAAGCAAACCCAAACACTAAAAGTCATATTAAGCATACATAATAGTTATAAAAGGTAGTAGGAACTTGTATATTGTGCTTAAAGTTGAATTCCAACTCAAGCACATCTCCTACAACTAAAAAGAACAAAGCGTGGACACTTTTTGGTGCGGCATTTGTTTTGGGTCTGCCTCTCCCCACCCCGTCATCCACGAGCGCCACGTCAGCCGCCTTTCACCTGCGATCCTCCCCCTCCCACTCGGCCACAACCACGAGTCCACGACGCTTGGGAGATAAAATGGAAAGCCAGCCGCAATCACCCCGAGGAATTGGCTTCCTCCAACGTCGCTAGGCTTCAACGCACCCCGTGCGCGACAAGCCCGGCTCCTCGTCCTCCCCGCTTATGCCGCCGCCGCATCCTCTCCCTGAGCCGTCGACCTCGCCGTTCCCCGCTTGACGTTCATCAGATCGTGGATTCAGGCGGGGCCAGGCGATCTGCTTCTCATGGATCCGTGCGGTGCCTTCGAGATCCGACTCTGCGGCTTTCGGCGAACTGCGCCAACAAAGGCTCGGCGCGGAAGGCTCGAGCGCCGAGCCGCCAAAGACATGACCAGCAGCACCGCCGCCGGTGACAACGCCTTCGCTCGAAAGCACCGACGATGCCGACGAGGAGGCCGCCGCACGCGTTCCATGACATCCACACTCTAACGCCCGACCCGCCGAGGATGAGGGGCCCCCAGCGTCGCAAGGGCTCAAGGTCTGTCATGGGACACCAACACGGACCACCACTCCTTCTCCTTTTAGGAACAGTACATGACGATGAGCCGCGAGTTCGCGGCCATGATTGCAGCCGGGGCGACCATGCAGACCGGCCCCAACACCAAGATTGAGGTAATCATCGATCAACGAGGCACAAAGCTTTTCTCCTTTTTACCTTTTTTTCACCTCTGCTGAAAATTTCTCTTCTAGATTGTCATCAGTAGTGTTGACTGCTTCCTAAATTAACCAATCAAGTCTATCGGCAGTCGAGCTTCACAGTTCTATGATTCTATCGCAAGTACAGAAAAATAAGTACTGACAAACTCAATCTCTATATACGTACACAAATAAATCTCTACTGGATGTAAGTGATCTCTACCATTAACTTTATATTCTCTAGAGCATCAACAACTCAACCAGCTTATCCTATCAACCCAACCAAATATATTCTCTGCAGTGAGTTACTTGATTTCATTTCATCTGTTAGTCCAGCACGATGAGTAAATCTTTAGTGACTATGGAGAGCTGATCGAGGTCATGTGCTGTGACTACAGCAAAAAGACTTGCTAAATTCCTTGGAGATTCCATGGTTAAAGACAGAGGACTGCATTGCTTATACACCGTTGCTGGGCAGCCACAAGTAAGTTTTGAAGTGTTCCAATAATTAAAATCATTTAGTTCTGCAGTCTACACATCTTTAGATTGGGATAATTGCTAATGTTATGTTTATCATGATCTTTCAAACATCCGTGCTGGTACCCTTCATGTGATACTTTCAGCAGCTGGAGGAACATCCAATGATTCATTTCCTATTTGAAACAGTTTCTAATTAGTTTTCTTATAGAATATTAAGCGAGTTCGATTATCTATATTTATCTTGCCCATGATTGACTTTCTTAAAATATTTTGGGCGCTCTCCAGTGAGTGAGCTTGCTGTTCCAGTAGCTATATTTGAGACAGATCCTGGTACCATTTTATGTGCAAACTTCTGCTTCTACATCGCTCAAACTTTTCAATTTACTTACATTTTCTTGCTATCAGTGTACTTTGCAGAGATCGCAAAGCATTATTTAAGGAAGTGGTGCAGGATCTGCTCTGATGCAAGCATCTGATCTATTGTTGTATACACACGTACGCCATCTGTGCCCCACTGCCGTGCACTACATGTTGTGCTGGCCACCTCGAATTGCTACCCAATTGGTTATTAGGCAAGACCTTCACTGCACAATGTGTGCCTAGATGTCAGAAAAATTGAAGGTATTTTGCCACATTTTACCTTTTCTTTTTTGTCCAACCTGTATGTGTGATGTTGGTCTTTAATCCAAGATCAATGAGCCTTGGTTTCAGATACTTATTCCACAATGGTATTTGAATCGATGAAAGAATATAGCTTTTGATGTCATTGTTTTACAAATCACCACTACCAGATTGAAGCTTGATGCCCATAGCGATGGATCGCTTCCCTTGGAGCTTCCATTGCTTTATTTCCTGCTGGATATGCCTCACAAGATCTTCTATAATTCGATTTATAACTCTACCAATTCAGAACAATCTTTTGGTGACCTGAAAGGTTCCTAGAGCTAATATGGTAATGTCTTTTTTCTTCAACTTCCAGCTGCTACGTATGTATACATGTTAGATTATATTGAATCTAATGGATTCACCGAAATTGCATACAATGATTAGAACTTAACAGTAAATCATAGATCTCCGACCTATTGAATTGGTTGCATAGACATGACATTTTCTCAAGATGCTGTAATTATACATGTTCTTCTTCTCAAGTAACTCTGGCCTGCTCCACAGTTTTATGTTCTTCTCAAGTAACTTCAGCCCAAGTTTTATGTTCTTCTCAAGTAACTTTTGCATAATAGTTGATCGGCACGCTCGTGCTGACAATCCCACGTGCTTCATCCTTTTTAATCATGGCGCCTTTAATCATTACCCAAGTTTTATTATCTTAATTTTTTATTCACTCCATGGTCCCCAAGCATTGTGGAGTCTACTGGCAGCCTGGCATCATTTCTTTAGTCTCAACCTGCTACTAAGACTGTTACCAGTTGTTTGCGCCTTATTAGCGCATCTGTTGCATTACTTCATTAACTTGAGGTGGCATGTGTTCTGCTACAATTAGTGATTTATTTGTTTTCTTCTTCTTTATGTGGGGTTTGATTTGTCAATTATCTTTCTGGGACCCATTTTCCAAATATGGCACTAACATATATTTCTTCTGACTTAGTCATAAGTCAACACTGAAAATACTATTTTGCCAATCTAAAAACTGGTAGTGAGACTGAACTTCAACTTGCAGGTTTTGTGATGAATATACTAAGCAAGCCCTTCTGAATATCTTGATTGGAAAATCTATGTAGTGAAGGATTTTGCATTGTTTTACATATTTCTTACGAACAACCTTTAAGACATTGTTGTGCCTATTCAGAGAGGTATGTCTCTTTCTTGGAACTTGAAACACATCCTCGGATGTCCTGGCAGTGTGCCTATTCAATATTGTTTCGTCACACCTTAGATCAGAAGCCACGGATATACTTGGTCATTACTGGATTCAACTTGGTCACTCCTGAATTTAGAGGTGCCACAAGATTGCACAGCAAAACACAAGCCAGTATAAGAGGTTAGCAAGGGCAAAGGTCAATGCATCTTGGGCAATTAGATGTATTTTGTTTCTTTTCTATTTGAATACTTGGTGCTATGGTTATTCTTGTAGAATATTTGTATTCTGGTTATTAAGGTAATGGCATAGTGTTTGCTGCAATGATGATTTCTTACTGCCGATATAAAACATTATCTTAGCCAGACACCGAAAGGTCTATACAGTAGAGTTTGTGAGCCTGCGACGCGGCATTCTCCATGATTGTTAATTTCACGAACTTTGCTTTTTGGATTAAATGTCACTTTATCGTCGGTATTTAATTTCACAAAGATTATCATCTTATCATGCGATCCGTGTGTTTTTAGTAGAAAAGTTTAGCTGTCCCAGAAAGCAATGCACGGGCACGAACCTATCAAGTAAATAAAAGTAAGATTAAATGCAGAAGGCAGAAACCCCGCACCACTTATTTAAAGCTGAAAGCATGTTGTAAAGGCAACTGAATGTAAAGAGCCAAAAACATACAGTCTCTTTCCATTCGGTGGAACCATCATGGTTCTGTCCTCCCATTCTTGTCCAGCGGCAGCGGTACCCGTTCTCGCCAATATCTTCTCCACTCTCCCTGTACCAAGTGCTTCCATCTTCATTTATTCCAGACTCCTTGACTGCTTCAGCCGGCAAGTTGATTCCCCATTCCTTCTCACTAGCAATACCAGTGTCTATAAGGCAGGTGCCAAACAAACACATGCATTTCCTTAGCAAAACAGAGATCTAAAATTGGGACTCTACAAGTGGGATCATTTCATTTCGCAGTAAACCGACATTCCTGTGGGAATGTTCTTTGGAATTGACAATGTCAGCAAGGGACCAACCTCTCTTGGGCGGGGTATCATGGGATTGAGGAGCCGGCCCCCTCCGGTGCACCATGCGGTAGAAGTCCTGTTGCTTGAACGGCCTTCTAGAACTATACTAGTAAACAAAAAAATGAGTGTCAGAATTCCATTCCCTAAGCAATGTGCATTGAACTAGTACAATATGTGAGGCTTCTGATAAAAGCATTGGCACGATAACCTGTCATTGCGCAATCTAAATTAGCACAAAAAAAACAAATGTCGGAATGATGCAATCGACTGATAACTGTAAAATGCGAGGCCGGGCACACTCTACAAGTCCTTAGAACTAAAAAATCCCCAGATGCGACGTGGCCAGCCGTCCTCCCACGTACCGAGGTGCAGGGAAGGGAGCGGGGGCATAGCGGTGAGGCTGGCGCGCCGCCGGCCCGGTGCCGCGGCGGATGGCTTGTTCCCATCGATGCGCCACCCTCGGCGCGCTCGGGCGTGACCGCGGCCGCCCTCGAGAGTCGCCTCCGCGGCTCCGAGTCGGCCCCGGCGCAGCAGCACCGGATCGCGGCACGCCGGCGCGGCCAGGACGCCGCCCCCTCGCCGTGGTCAGATCGAACGGCGGCCACGCGAGGCCCCTGGAGCATGCGGCCATCTTCTCATGCCACGGCGAGGCGGGACCGTGGCGGGCGGCGGCGGGGGCCGAGGCGGGTTGGGGTGGGGATGAGCCTAGCAGTGGCGGAAGGAGGGAGGCGGAGGGGAGGGTTTTATACGAATGGTGGGGCGGAGGCAGGCGGTGCGCATCGCTGCTCCGAGCCAACGAGAGCGACTGATAGGGCTTCGCTCCCGCGGGGCTGAGGAGAGAGAAACGAGAGAAGTTTCTATGGGTTTTATTAGATCTTTGATGAAGATTGTTGGGATGGAGAATGGCGAGGGGGTGGGGGGCGTCCCCGATGATATGTGGCTGGGTCGCTGGGAGAGAGACAGAGACGAAGAAGGGAGTAGGTGGGGTGGCCGGACCCACTTGTCGGTGGCGGTAGATTCAGAGTTTCAGACCGGCCTGGTTGTGTGTCAGGGGAGAATGTGACGTGGGACCATGTCACGAATGCAAACCGTGGCTGGGCTGCCAAATTGGGGAGGGTAATGATTTGGGTAGTGATTACTGCATTCAAAAAACAATATGATTTGTATATGCTCAAGTGTTGAACATTATTCAAATGTCACAACGACAAAAGTTTGAGGAAAATGGAAGCCGTTTTTCCTCCTATAGTTTCCTTTAATTATCCGTTTGTTTATGATTATCAGCGCGTTCGGCTAATCACATTTTAAACTTATTTCGGCTGATTTCGGTTGATTCAATAGTGTTCTGTGAGAGAGAATAAGCTGAAACAAGTTGAGACTAGACAAGGAGAACAGGCTCTATATTTTTTCTCGGTCATGCAAAAGATTTACGCGTTTTTGTGTTATATAAGTAGGGAGAAATTTGATTACAAGGGCGGGGGCTTTTTAGAAATCCATTAAGCATATGCCCTCCCCAAAGATACATTCTACTACTCTATTACTCGCCGAAGAAGACAATCTAGGTTCTTCATGCCGGCTTGCACCCACGACTCTGCCTCGTACTTGATGAGTTTGAGAAGTCCGGACGCCTGAGTGCTTGCTCCACGGAAGCACCTTGCATTCCTTTCTTTCCAGAGTTCCCAAGCAACCAACGCAAAGATGGAATCAGCTCCGTTGCGACACTGTCTCGTCCAGTGTTCTCTCCAAACGTTCCACCAGTCAATAGTGGAGTTGGCAGGCACGAGTTGTTGTGTTTCCCTCAACGCTGATCGGATGCACCACCAGACTTGCTTGGAGTAAGAGCAATCCACAATGATGTGATCAATGGATTCCGGCTCTTGATCGTATAGGAAACAGTTGTCATGCGTCTCCAGGCCATGTCGCCTCTGTCTGTCTGTAGTCCAGTGTCGCCGTCTCAGGGCAAGCCATAGCAATAGTTTGATCCGAAGTGGCGCCCAGGACTCCCAAATCAGGTCGCGTCCCGGCTTTGGGTGTGAAGCTTGGTGGAGAGCTCCATATGCAGTCCTGATGGAGAACTTGCCCTCCGATGCCCACCTCCGGACCACTTGATCAGGTGTGTCATGTTTATGATTATATTATTGATGGTGTATTTATTACAAATATATCGGGTCTATTCGGTTGTGGTCTATCACGGCTGTTGTAACTTGCTTTGCGGGTGCTACACTAACATGTGAGGAGGCTTATTATATTAGTTAGAAATTATTGATCATTTGCGGGTGCTACAGTAACATGTGAGGAGGCTTATTATATTAGTTAGAAATTATTGATCATAGTATTGATTGAAGATTAAGTTTAAATCTTAATATATGTGAGGATCGAAACAGAAACAGAAGGTGCAATGAAATGCACGGGGATGGATAGAGAGAACGAGAAAAACACGTGACCACCCATGTGAGAAAAGGTGTTAGATGAATGTTCATTTTGGATTTATGGCTCAGCATGGTGAGTAAGAAAATGAGCGCCTAGCTTATGGGGCGCCATCACCATGCGGGCATTTCAACGTGACACGATTATCATAGAACCTCGCACCTTGTCTTACGGGGCTTGTCTCTCACGCACGCTACAAGTTTTCCTCCCGAGGACGCACAAATACCAGCAAGGGCAATTGGCTGAGTAATATGTCGCGTTCTTACCGCAACTAAGTGTCGTAATAAGTATTGTGAATTGCACTGGCAGTATTTCGAAATGATTCTATATGCCTACACCACGTTACCGGCCGACATGCCAGTACAAAGGTACTGCTACTTCAAAAAGTTCATGTACTCCTTTGCGGTGTCACGTCCGACGTGGCTCCACGCGACAAGGAACATGTGGACAACGCTTCCTGGGCCAACGTGGCGGCCGAAACCGGATCAGGATCAGGCCCCCGGCAAAGTTACGTGGAAAAGCGCCGGCTCTCGCGGCCACGGATCCTCTACGCCGACGGGAGCACGGGGGACCGGTTCACACGTGGCAGACAAGGCGCGCCCAGTTGTTCGTCCTGCTCACTTAACTTATAAGCCATACTTTTTCAGCTAATGAATAATATTTTTCTCAAACAATAATTTAGTCAACGGTACATTTAGTCGTGGCAAAGCGAACAGGGCAGTTGTCGTTGAGGTAACTCGTGGCTCAGCTTCGCCGAGGGCGAGCCAGGACTATCCATACTCCACCGGCGTGGCGGTTTGGCCCGTTGCCGCCGGGGCCGCCGCACCTTTTCACCCGACGCCGACCGCGAGAGTGGATAAAATTGCTGCCTCGGTGTCGGTGACTCGGAGGGAGGGACCGGGGCGACGCGCTGCCGGCCGTGGATGTATGTTTTCCTCTTTCTGCTTCCCCCTGCTAGCCATGCCGCAGGCTCGGCAAAGCGGATAAGCATTGACGCTTGACGGGGGGTGCTTGGGTTTTGGAACGTACCAGCGCTTGGCTGCGGTGCGTTCGGAGTAGAGCCATCCCGTCTGCTGCTGTCGCGGAAAATATGCGTGGAGTCGTCCGTGTGGAACAGTGGGAGTGATGTGGCTTTGGCTTTGGCTTTGGCTGGAGATTTCCAGACCGATCTCGCCCGTGGCACCGTCGCATCGCAGAGTTCAGTTCCATTTTGTCTTCGGCATTTGCATTTGTTGCGTCATATTTAAAAAAAACGCGTGCGAGATTATTAAAAGTTAAAAACATTTCTTTGCCGAATTCTGCAAGATGCTGAGTCAACTGAACTGAACGGAACAAATGGGACGAGTATGGTGACGGCGGCAAGTGCCACTGGGCTGGTCTGGCTTAGTTGAATGGCTTCAATCCTTTTTGGGCTTTCTGCAAGCCCAAGCCCACACCTTTATTCGTTGGCGACTGCTACTACTGTACAACTCGGCACAGTGTACATCGTAACAAAGCCACGTGTACAACTCGGCACAGTACTTGTATAACAAAAAAAAACACCAAAACGTACACGCCAAGGCCAAGCGCGGTGCTCGGCACAGCCGCACAGGCGGCTACTACTGGATGTAGGACTGTCCGGTGATGTCGAGGTCGCGGTCGCCGGTGGACGGCGGCGGCGGGTGGTTAGGCCTCCGAGGCGCACGCTGCTCCTCGGGCCCGTCGGCGCTCTGCGTGGCGCTGGCACGCGGCCGCGCGGGGTCCCTCCGGCCGCCCTCCTCCGTCCCGTACATCCCGCCGCCGTACGCCTCCCGCGTGAGCGGCTTCATCTCCGAGATGTTGGGCGGCTGGTGCTCCCGCTGCAGCTGCGGCTGCTGCCCCGGCACCAGCGTCACCAGGTCAGGGTCCGGGTCGCTCGACGGCTCCTTGGGCTTCTCCTCCCGGTGCTCCATCGCCTTCTTCGTGCTCGGCACCAGCCTCTCCGCCATTGCTAGCTCTGGGGTGTTCGACACGGGTACAGAAATGGCAGTGCGCCCACTGGCCTGCCTTTATAGCTGCGTGGTGGATGGATCGGGAGTTCGGGACAGGACGGCTGGACGGGAGAGGCAGCCTCCCTCGCGTGAGATCTCGGATTCTCAGTGGTGGGCACACGTGTAGCGGCGGGGATGCGCGTGCGGCAGAGGCTGCAATGCTGCATGGCCGCGTGGGGGCGATCGGGACACCTGGGGTTGGTCGGTGCCTCCGATGTCGCTGGACGTGACTCGTGGACGTCACCATGCCGAAATGCCGCCGGCGCCGCCGTCGTTTCAGAGCCGAAACTGCTTACCTATAGGTACGGAATAGCGTCATGCGACGAGACGAGAAGAGCGAACTCTCTTTGGATCACCTCTGGAACAAAGCAAAATGGAGAAACTATATAAAGGTTTAGAGTCCTACGAATTATATGAAATTTCTATAGAATTGATATGTTTTGTAGAGACTTGGGGATTCTATCAAAAGGTTGAAGCTGTGCGAAATCCCCTTTATTACTATATCACTCTCTCTCATCCAATTTCTTTATTTTGCTAGCGCGATCTTGCAGTTTTTATATTTTTCAAATACAAAAGGAGTCTATTTTTATATATTTTTCTAGCGCGATCTTGCAGTTTTCGAATATAGATGCTAGGGCATTCTATTTTTCGAAAGATGCTAGGACATTCTGTTTTTCATTATCATGCGTTCCCATTAAAACCGTAAATTCCAAAACGAGTCTCAATCATCAACAATTCAACATCTACTGAAAGCATTATGTGATGTGAGGTGTATCTTTTTATAGAATATTAAGAAAATATTGATGTGTGAGGTATGCCACAAGCCCACAACTCCAGACATAGATTGACCAGGCACGGCTGGGCTCGCCAAGACCCCAACCATTCAACTCCAGACTTTGATTTAGTGCCCATCTGGTACAGATTCTTGGGCAGCTCTGTAGGAGCAGAGGCTGAGCGCGCGCGACGCGCGGGCAAGCCGGCGAGGAGGAAAGTGCGCGGGCGGTCGGCGGCTCGGCGCGACTGGGAGTGCGGAGGAGGAGGAGGAGAAAGGGTCGCGGGAAGGCCCAACGCGGCTGGGACGAGGAAGGACGCCGGCGCCCGGCGGAGAGCGGCCCACGGATCTTGCTTCTTCGGCGATTGAGAACGAAAATATATATATAGAAAAGAAAAATAGACGCGGTTTGTGGCTCGGAGGAGAGAGAAACGAGAGATAAGGAAAGGAAATAAAATAAAAGTGAAAAATAAACTCTTCTACTTAATACAATAATATTCGAGAAAAAAAGTGAAAATAAATAAAAAAAAAACAGGAGAAAAGGTGTTTGCGTTATTATTTCAAGTTTTCAACCCTTTTATCTACCATGACATGACACGATGAGCTGTTCTATCGAACTCTGTCCGATTCAGATTTCTTCGTTCCTCCACACGAAACATGCTTGTCTCCGATTCATACTCGATCTAGCCAGCCGGATCGGAGTCGTAATCCGATCGTCCTTCGAATCAGACGACAATGGCCGGCACGGTGCCATCAACCCAACCCAATATATACATGAACGCACCCAAGGTGTTGCATTGATCAATCACGTAACGTCATTCCAAGATCAAGACTAAGAGCGTATGCAATGGCGTCGACGTTGCGGAAGACCCTACCGTTGCGCGTGACGGCGACGGGCTTTGCCACGCACGTCGTCGAGGTCCGCGACTTCAGCAAGTTCCGGAAGAAGCACCGCGGCGACGCAGGCTACTTTGTCTGCTCGGAAACCTTCACCGTCGACGGCCTCGACTGGATGGTTGTCTGCCGCCCCAGCGGGGAGGGCGACGAGCAGGGCTACATGGGCGCCTGCGTGGAGCTCGTCACGGAGGGCGTCGCGGTGTGGGCGCACGTCAGCCTCGGGTTGGTCGACTGGGCCACCGGGTGCGCCGCCGACGCTTTCTTCTCCAACGAGGACCCAGTGCTGTTCGACGCCGGGAACGACGACTGCTGCAACTGGGGCACCGACAAGCTCGCCTCGTGGAGGAAAGACCTCCAGGGGTCACGCCGCTACCTCCGCCGCGACTGCCTCCGGATCGAGTGCGTCATCGACATCTGCCACTTCCGCCTCGCCTTTCGGGACCCGCCGGCACCCAAGTTCACGCCGCGGGACGTGGCGGCCATCGGCACGTTCGGCTCGGACGTGGGCGCCGACGTGTTCATACACGTCGGCGCAGCCGACCCCATCCCCGCCCATAGCTCTGTGCTAGAAGCGTACGCCCCTCGCTTCTTGAAGAAGCACAACCTCGGCAGGCGCCGGAGGCCCAGGACGACGGCGGCGGCGGCGGCGACGGACATCCATACTGCTACTCCTATGCGGGTGAACATCGACGACATGCCGCGGCTGGCCGTAGAGGCGCTCCTGCAGTTTGCCTACAACGGCAGCCTGCCCATCGTGGACGGCTTGAGCGGGGACGGGTATAGGGACATGTTCCGGCACCTGCTGCTCGCTGCAAAGAGGTACGGCATGCGGAGGCTGTCAGCGATCTGCGAGCGCGTCCTTTGCCGGTGCATCGACGTTGACACCGCGGCGGCTACACTGGCGATGGCCCATCGGCACGGCTTCCAGAAGCTCAAGGAGGCGTGCTTCCAGTTTGCTTCCGATCCATTGACCTACGGCTTTGTGCGGAAGAGCAAGGGATATGCTGAGCTCTGGTGCTCCTGGGAGACTTTCTGTGTGCAGAGAGATTTACGGGCAAAGTACTATGAGAGAAGCGGACAACCTTCAGCCCGTTCGGCGGCTGGTCGTAAGCGCAGCTGGTGCTCGCTGTTGGCACAGTACTTTGTGAGATTTTATCTTTAAATCTCACCGTCGTCACCGATAGAGAAATGGTATTATAACTCTAATATTAGTTAGAGAATTATTACTAGTTATTTGTGTTGTAGCATGTATCATGTTTGAATGTTCTGCCCTATTATACTAGTCCACATGTCAATTAGCTTTGTCCTAAATCAAACATTTATATCTTTAACCATCTATTTTAAAAATTATATAAATTCATACATAAAGTATATGTGTTTAGATTCATTATGAGAAAACTTTCATCATAATACATAATAATTCATATATGTCGTGAACTATAAGGATCAAACACTGCAACACTGATATGTGCAATCATTGATGGTTATCAGCTTCCCGCCAATTTTCTAAATTCTCATCTCACCGGTGGGTAGTGTCCGTGTTTCGAGTAAACACCAACAAGTAAATTTATAATATTGCGCGTCTGGCTCGGATGGTGTGCTAAGAGGACACGAGGTTTATACTGGTTCGGACGGAATGTCCCTACGTCCAGTTCGTTGCTGCTCGTGTTACTAGCACTGAAAAGTTCGTAGTATGGGTCATAAACGGGCGAGAGAGGAACAGGTCCCAAGTCTCTGGTGGAAAGAACGAATGGATACCAAGAGCTCGGTTGCTGCTCGGCTATGTGTTCGAGGTTCGATGCTAGTCGTTTTGATCTGATGCGATGCAATGCCCTCTAGTGGGGTGCACTGCTTTCCCTTTTATAGTCTAGGAAAAGCACGGGTTACAGCGAGAGAAAAAAAGGAGAATGAGAGAGAAAGTCCTTCAGGGTCGTCGGGCCTTTCTTTTTCTTTGCGCGGGTCCCGCTGACAAGGCAGGTGGTGACAGGGACAGCTCCACGCCGGGCGCCTGTGCGCCGATGATGTCATGCCCTGGCGTTGTCAGCGTGTCGTGACGTCCCACTCCGCCCCGGCGGGCGACGCGGCGAACCAGCGTGCTGATCAGCGGCCGTACAGAGAGTAGGCAGCATAGTGACCACGTGTCCGTCACTGTGGCGATGTGAGTTCTCTGGAATGACATGTCGCGGGGACGGGTCGTGTGGAGACGTGACCGCTCCCTGCACGAAGCCAGAAGTTTGACCTTGGTTTGTACTTTCTGGCCCATAGTGGTTGGCGACGGCGTGAGCTTCCGTTAAGAGCCAGGGATCGGACGAGGCGGAGCCAGCCCTCAGACGTCGGACGAGGCGGAGCCTGCCCTCAGAGGTCGGGTGAGGCGGAGCCCGTGGCCTCGGTGTCGAGCGAGGCGGAGCCCGTCCCCAGAGGTTGAGCGAGGCGGATCGCATGACCTTAGGGTCGGGCGAGGCGGAGTCCGCGGCCTTGGTGTCGGGCGAGGTGGAGCTCGTACTTAGAGGTCGGGAGAGACAGAGCCCACGGCCTCGATGTCGGACGCACGACTGCCCGCCCCGAAGCAGTCGGATTCCTCAACATCGTAGCGTTGGCTGGCTCCGCGCGGTTGAACGCAATCGCCCAATCCCCACCCGAAACTGCACCTTCCGATTCGATTCCCACACACCGATGACCCATGACAGGCATGGCGACACGTGCAGGTGCAGCAGTGCAGAACTGGGCCACTGGCCCCGAGACCATGCGATTGCTGCGATGCATGCAGTCCCGGAGTCGTAAGTACTGTAGGTGTGCCCGCGCAGCAGGAGCAGGACGCGTAATTTCCAGGCCACTGCGCCGGCAGCATTCACGCTTTGGCGGAGGAGTTTCCATGGAATTGGTCGCCCACCGTTCGTGGGCGACGACATGGTCACGTGGCAACGGAGCATCACGCATCTCATTCTGGTCTCTCTCTCCGCCGGACGCGCAGCAAAACTTGGATTGGACACCTCCGACGACGTGCTGTTGCTGTAGCCTCACTGGTAGTCAAGCCCAAGCACTGTCAGCTGCAATGGTCTCACTGGCTTGCAGCAGGGTTCCCAGACCGAGAGCCGATTCCCAGACCGAGTCATGAGTCTTGGTCACGTCGTACCGTCCTTGCCCCCGCAGAATGTTCAGACGGACGAAACTGCGATGAACCTGCGCGAGACGTTGCCACTTGCCAGCCAAACGAAACGATGTGATCCTCCGCACCAGCAGCGCGCCACTCCGATCCACCACCATGCGCTTCGCAATGGCGGACAGCCGA